AATGAGAACAAGTAATACAGTTGAAGGATACTAGGCGGACACTGGAGTTAGAGCACAGAGGAATTGAGGGAGTGAAAGATAAGCACTGAAGTTTGGAACCCATGCACTGCTAGATTGGCAGAGTCTCTATGACTGTTGGCGCTCTTTATATTCTATCTGTAATGGGTGGGGTTTTACAGAGGAAATCAAAGATAGTGCTGATTCAAGCCATGACACGGTACATGCGTAGAAGTACATCAGATGAGACGGTATGCCAGAGGCTTCGTCAACATAGAACTTTATCAAAGAGCGAAGCAACAGCTCGTACAGAAAGTTATATGGAGAGCGACGCAAAGGCTTATCAAAACGTCATGTGAAAGAGATGGAATAGCTTGTACAAAGGCTTCTACCGAAAGTAGATTTCAAAACGGTTTGAAGACTCATACATTACGAATGGATAGACTTAAGATATCTGTAAGTAAAAAGTTAATATAGGAAACAGGTGATATTATAGAGAATAGGAACTATTTAAGGAGTTGTTGCTATACTGATTGACTTTGGTTACGAATACGTACCCCCGGCACAGAAGAGGTTGTCCATAGAATCGCCTGCACCATCGTTAAGCCCACCGAAGTTTTATTTTTCGTTTGTCATCCCTTCTTGTTATTATATGATCGGTCGATCTCTGTCCCTCTATCGATGTGTGTTCTTCTAAGTTTCGAAGATGTGACAGATTTCGAAGATCAGATCCTTGAATTCTGACTAGATATTGAGAGCGCCGGTTATATTTTAGATCGTTCAAGCGCTCTGTGAGTAGTGCGGAGCATTCTTGGCGTGGTTGAAGTAGTATCCCACGTCTCTGCTGCATAACAGAGCACTGGAGCGCTTGCTGAAGTTGGTCCCGTATTAGTTGATCGGTTGCTTTTTTCAATATCACGAATGCTGCCCATGCTGCTCTTCTGTTTCTGTCCAATTCTTACCTCATGTTGTTTTTCATGTTCATTGAGCGCTTAAGGTACACATACCAGGTAGTTCCTGCTGTCAGAGAGCCAATTAGTTTGATCTATTCTCTTTCACACCAGCTGTTTTAAATGAAGATGAAAGGAACACTGATGAGGAAGAAAGTTGAACGCATAAACGAAAAAACCGATGAGGGTTTCCTTGTTTGGAGAACTGTGTGTCAGAACCTATAGATGAGGAATTCAAGGGCCAGAAATCCTCGTGGATTTGTGTGTTTAACAACAGCTGCACCATCTGTACATAGGTGCTCGGATATTCACCAAAAAAGGCAATATGCAGTCTGGTCATTGATAAACATGCAGCGAATCATCAAAGATTACATATTTTTGCCTTGATATCGCTTGCTGAACAGGTGCACAAATTATTGCAGAATTCAATGATATATAAGACCCACTAAAACTCAAAAACAGCATGCACATCATCAACACGCCGCCCACTCCCTCCCTCACCACGCATTAGTCAGAGTCTTTTCTTTTCCTACGTTTTATAAGTACGTCTAACGAAATAGCTACGAACACTTATAAGGAGCACGATATTTTGTAAAAAAATCGAGAAGTTTCAAAAATCTTTGCAACACTTCACTTATACTGCCAGTCCTCTTTGTTGGTGATCATGTCACTGAAGGGGACAGCCGTGAAGGCTCCATGTGTCCCTACTACGCACGATGGTTCCTGTTGGCTCCAGCAACTCGCAAAACATTTTGTTTTTCTTCAAGCACTCCCGTGTCGATGTTTATCCTATAAAGCAGTGATCTTCCTGTTGTGCGCTTGACATCTTGTGAGGCTGTGTCCATACCGACTTCTTCCCATCACTTGCTGTGAAGCCATGTTGTGTCACCTGATTTGGCAAATGTTAACAATAACGGAAGCACCTATCATAGTTGATCCTTGATATAGATGAAAACTTGGGATTATTAGGACGAAGGAATGCTTTCACATGTACTTTGTGTATAAGCTATTGTGCAGACTTCAGGAACTCTACATGAATGTAGCTCTAAATGTACTATCTGAAAATCTTTTAGAACCTGAACATAAATGCTGTCTCTAGTTCCCTCTGTCAAAACCCCACCCATTACAGAAGGTACATAGGCAACCCATCATTTAGCTTTCTTAGTGTTCGTCCGTCTTCGTCCAGTTAGTTCGCCTAGTTCCTTCAATTCGTCCATATACTTCGCGGTTATTGTAATTGCTGCAATCATAATCACGGATCACCCTCACATGAGGGATCTCGAGCCGGTTAGTCGCAGGGCTGTGTGGCGCGTCTCCAGGTGGCGGGTAGGGGGACCAAAACCGGACCAAAAGCGACCTTTGTTTTCAGGGATGCAGGTGGATCCAGAGGGTGGACTCCCTCTTTCTGCTACACCGATTTAGCACATACTTTCTGTATTTGCTAGGCGCATTCATGCATGCGTGTGTGGGTGCGTTCCCACTTATGCGGATTGTATTCCACGACTCAGTTCAGCCAAAAGACTGCAATCAAGTAACTGGGAAGAGAATACCCAGCCCTCACGTTCAGAGTCCAGCGAGCTATACGTGGGTATTAAAAATGCTAAGCACAGTAAAAAAGCGAGCCTCATTCACCCGACCCCGAAAGGCCCTCAATTTCGAAGCGCTGGATAGGACGAATACGGAGAGGCTGCCAAGATCTCAAGACCAACAGAAGCTGCCTGGATTTCAAAAAACTATGGTGACGATCTGCACCTACAATGCACGTACGCTTGCATCCGAGTATTAGGCAGAAGAGTTGCTCATGCAAGCAAGAAGGATAAATTACGACGTCATCGGCCTGGACAAGACAAGAACGCGCAACCCATTCAACGCCGTCAATGACTTGTCCATGAACATCGATTCACTCGAACAACTTACAACCCGAATAGGACGTTTACGATTAAAAAGACGTGGGTCAATTTCGGCTTTGATAATCAACGTCGTTTACGCGCTGACATCAAACTATGACGAAGGAGAAGTCGAAGCGTTCTATGTTGAATTGGACAAGTTTTGCAGAGAAGACCATACGTTCTTCACGGTCGTCATTGAAAATTTGAACGCCAAGGTTGGACCAAGAACAACGTCTCAAGAGCATCACATTGCCATCCACGGATTAGAGTGGAGCGAACAGGGTGAGTGGCTGCCTGATTTTATCATGGCGACCATGACAATCCATCCTAATTCGCCATTCTAGAAGCCCCACCCTCAGCGCTGGACGTGGGAGTCTCCCAATGGAGGGTACCATAACAAAATAAACCATATTTTAATACTGTCTTTTTTACATTTTAATATTATATTAATATTGTTAATATATATTGTTAACATATATATTGTAAACGGAAGGTTTTGCCTAACCGATGTCGCTGTTGTCCTAAAATTCTACACGGGATCAGACGATCGTTTCCTTCGTATAGGATTCTATTTTTCGCGAAAAGGAGAAAAAGCCTCTAAATTGAAAAACCGAAGTCGCAGAACCACCGTAAACTGGGACTTATACAATTCATGAGTCGGCTGTTAGAAAGATGCCGTTGTCGATAACACCCACGAAGAATACGATCGGCTCATTCAACATCTTCACGCTTGCGCTATGAAAGCTAAAAGTTCGAAAATCACCAAGAGACGTTTGCTCCAGAAACAATCGAGCCGATACGCCAGCGTGGAATCGCATGAAAGGCAACCGCGAACTAACGTCCGAACATGCAAAACAAGGCGGACAGGCGATAATAGAAGATCTTAAAGGGGGAAGAGCAGCAGCAATGGTCAAAGCTGCAGAGGATGGGAAAAGCATTCGCAAATCTAACGGAAGGTTCGCCAGTTACGAGACCAAAATAATTGCAATAACTCCCACGACTGACTTTCTATTAACCTGGGCATTGATCAAGTAATTCTTCGTATTTTTTTTGTTGAGCAAACGCGAGGTGTTATTATTCTTTATTCACGAATAAGCTGACGTTTCGGCGGATTTCGCCTTCCTCAGAGCCTGGAAAGGTCGAGTTGATAGCAACCTACTCGGACAGACGCCTCCATAACCAAACAAAGAAACTCTAAACCAGGATTTCAATCACATTGAACACAGCTTTGCACATTCGCCGCTTTCTATGAGGTTTCCACAAAGTATGTCACATAGAGACCAACCGCACAGAAATCACATGGAAGCATAATGTGCCCCTCCCATCAGAATAGCAAAATGATTACACTCCGACGCCTAGACGGAACATTTACAGCGTCCAGAAAGGCAATGGAGAAAATCATTCACGAAGACTACTCGGATCTCTTCGATGGCCACGTCCACTTTCAGTCGTATAAAATAAATGAGAATAGATATGTTGCACCACTGTTTCTCGCTTCCGAAATACGACATGCCATTTCGTCGGTGAAAAATCGAACAGCACCACGTCCGGACAGAATAGGGCCAGAACACCTGAACAACCTTCGCCTGTCCTCTTAAACACACTGGCTAGGCTGTTCACGTGTAACCTGTCCGAATTCATGCTCTCTACTCAGTGGAAGACCAGCAAGACCGTGTTATTGTTCAAAAAGGGTGACCTGCGCCCTATTGGGAACTATCGCCCAATCTGCTTACTGTCTGTCGTCTACAAACTTTTCACCCAAGTCATCCTGAACAAGATTGACAGAACACTGGACGAAAAGCAGCCATTTGTGCAAGCAGAGTTTCAAAAAGGATTTGGTACGATGGACTGCATCCATACGGTAACACGGCTCATTGAAGTGTCGCGAGAGTACGAAGGACCGCCCTGTCTCACTTTCATCGTTTTACAGAAGCCCTTTGATTCAGTTGAGATAGAAGCATTCTTGGAATTCCTTGATAGTCAAGGAATCTCTACTCAGTACATACAGATTCTTGGTGAGCTGTACAAAAATTCCACAAATAAGGTAACACCATTCTACAACGATATTAATATTGAAGTCAAAAGAGGAGTTAGACAAGGCGAGACTATCTCGCCAAAACTACTTACCTCCGTCCTCCAAAACGTCACGCAGCATTGAAATGAGACAATATGGAACTGAAAATCGACGGTCGGCAGTTACACCATTTTCGCCTTGCTGATGATATTGTCCTCGTAACACCAAACATTAGCCAAGCGGAATGTATGCTTGACGACTTTGATAAAGCCTGTGGAATGATTGATTTTCGACTAAATCTCACAAAAACGATGTTCATGATGAACGAATTGGTTTCGCATGCCCTATTAACGCTCAAGGAAACGAATATCTTCAATTGCTCCAGTTATATCTATCTAATTCGGGAAACCAATGTGATGACGGACCTAGCTCCAGAGCTGGGGAGAAGAAAACGAGTGGCGTGGGGAGCTTTCTAGAGCATCGAGGATGTAGTGAAAAGAACAATGAACAGCCGACTCCGTGCCCACCTTTTGGACTCAATGGTTTTTTCTGTCCTAGCGTATGCTACAGAAACTTGGTCTATGCGTAAGCAGGATGAAAGATTACTCCACGTTATTGAACGTGCAGTCGAAAGGACGATGCTAGCAGTTTCCCGTTTCACACAAGTAAGGGAAGGGATCCGAAGCTCCGACCTGCATCAACGATCAAAAATCAAAGAAACCTGTACGCTTCTGTACACCCAACAGTCGAAGATAAGGTGGGTTGCACACGTAGTGAGTATGAATGACAACCGATGGACAGGAAGCGTTCGTGGATTCTTGGGGATGTCAAACGTACTGCAAGAAGATTACCGACCCCGCCGTTAGAAGTTTTTTACAAAAGACGTAGAAGAAAGGTATGTTATTCAATGAGCTTCTAGAGCGAGCGGAACCAACCAACTGAGCTACTCTTGCACGCGAAAGGGAAAAATGGAAGATTTACGAGCGCACGCTCGGGTCACTCGACGATCAACGGGACTACAGCTGATACAGGTGATACAGTCACAAAACTTAGAAGCCCAGTGTCTCAAGGCGTTTTGCCCAGTGAACAACACACAGGAGACCAGCATGGTAGCTACAGAGACTAATATTCCCAACTCCTTGGTGTTCATATAGTTGTGAACGCCGCAACAAACATTTTGGTCACTATGGGAATCACACACACTTATTCTTTTTTGCCTCTTTTAACACGCAGGCACTGTTCTTTTCACAGATTTAGGGATTAAGTAGTAAATATTTTAGAAGCCAACTTTTCTCTAGCCTCAACGTTTTTAAGCTTTTCTTGGTTGCTCTAACTAACGCGAGGCTGTTGTAAAATTATTATTTGGCTAATCTTTCTGTACCCTCCATTTACATGGATGAGGTTCAGCAATCAATTCTCCTTCAGCTGAGCAACAGATTCGATAAATGACACTGAAGAGATTAGCAATGATGGGGCACGTGTAGCACAGTGTTTATGAAAGCACTACAATAGGTGCGTGGTCTATGGTATGATCACGTCATCAAAAGTCGGTAAATCGGTAATAGAATTATCTGCAAGATGAAAAACACTTGCTTTGAACACCGATGGGTCCACGCAGGTCATTGTACAGACCAAATATGCCTTGAAGAACCTGTAATGGTGGCTGGTGAACCCGAATGCATGGCTCATACACCTGAGACTGGTCAGAGCCGAAGCTTTTTACGATTTTGCAGGAGAGCTAATATCGCCGGAAACTGCCCAAACCGCTTTTCTTAACTGATTTGCGAAAAGATAATATTTAGAGATGAGGATCACCTTTCTGATAGCCGCAGCAACTGTAGTGACCCACAATGATATAATCAGCAAAGGGAAGAATTTAAATCTCATGTTCTCTAATGATCAGTGTGGCCAAGAAGATTTGCATAATGCTTCAGAAGATAAGGCGCCAAACCAAAAGGTAATATGTGAATGAAATAAAATAAATGATGCATGCATTCCCAAAATGCAAATGCCTTTCGATGGAAGATCGTGTTGGTCTCTCTCTACTACAAAGCAATTTTTAGGGCGCAACGGACATGGAGACGAAAGAATTTAGGCCTCTTATCGAGGAAAAAGAGAAAACCGATCAAAAACTGGGAACGTATGCACACTTCTTTTTCGCTTTAGGTTTTTTTTATTTTGAAAATAACTGTGTCCTCAGAGAGGCGGTAGGCGGTTATCGCAAAAGGAGACAGGTATTGAGAGACAACGTCGGTAAGAATACAACATGGAAGGACGGCGTTTACTACACGTTCAACACATCTGGTTAGTCTACACAAACCTTTCCCATTTCACACTGTATTAAGTGCCAACCTTGTTCCTTATCGACCCAAGGAGATAGTCCTTGCTTGACAAGTCTCTTCCAAATAATCTCAAGGATAAATGTAATTTACCACGGACGTCATTGGGACCACAAGGTTGGAAGTGAAGGACGAAAAACGAATGAATTGAAATAATGATTCGAAAAACCGATTTGTTATTAGCCTCAGCTTTTATGAGTAATTTGGCACACTGTTCGGATAAACACACACGACGTTGCTATTATACCCTTTATTCACAAAAGCTGATATTTTGCCGCGCCTTTCGCCTTCTACGAGCCCAGGAAAGGTCAAGTTGACTGCGACTCAGTAGCCCAAATACTTCCATAGTCCCTTTAAAAAATAGGTGAACTTAATTTTTAATCAAATTAAAAGCAAGAAAGCCTTTTCACGCACTCACTTCTTTTTATGATCTTCCACTGAGTATTCCACCAGGAGAACAACTATAAAGAGTTCATATAAATGGGTATTGTACCACTCTTGCATAAAAATATCAGTCTGAGATATTACGTCAAATCACACGTGATCACAAGGCACTCTTCCTTACGGTTCGTCTTCGAATTTTTGGGCATTATTCACACCACCTAAAAAGTTTTACGCACTCATATGTTGGAATCCTGTGCAAATGAAGTGATTTTTACATCAAAGTCTTCCCTGTTATGCCTCTGTGTCCTATCAGCCTCTAGTGAAATACTTCGCTTAACATTAGATTTACCGACGAGATGTTCTTTCATACGGAGACAACGAGGTCTACCTCTTTCGCCAATGTATTCGTCCCGTTATGGTTTACAAGAGATGGGATTTCCCGTATCCGAAGTCATGCTCGCTGTCTTTACCATTTGGCTATGTTATACAATTTCGCGTTGTACACAGACCCTAATTCTGATGGTTGTGGACTAGAGTGTGTAGTAGTTTTTCAATCACAGCTGCCGAAATCTCTATGCCAACCTTTTTAAAGCAATGCTTTACAACGGTACTTATTTCGTTAAAAGTGAAAGACAGCATGAATTATTACTGAAGGTTATTGTTCAAGCTTGGACCCATGTAGACTGTGTAGGCGAACCAACTTATGGTACGACATGGTATTAATCCCTAATATTTATCCAGTTCTTTAAACCCATTTTAGCTTATTTTACCAGCACCCAGATGTTCCTGGATCTTCTACGTAACGCGTGTCCTAGAAGCACAAATGCGATGGAGTCACTTGAATGTACCACCATTTGTCTTTACGTCTCGAATGACTCCGCTATGCAAGTGGTCTTTCAACTCCTTATACCAACACGAAGAAGCAATGATCATGCATTACTTTTCGATTAAGCAGTTGATGGCCTTCTTAAAAGAGTACCTGAATTACTCAGTCTTCGGAAGGACCAGAAAATATTGCGCACAAATTAGAAAGTTGGCAGTGGTGCAGCGACTATTCCCAAATTTTGCCATTTCTTCATGCTAAAGGTGAAAACTCAAGTAGCTGGTCTCTGGGTAGTACTTTACCGCAGATATGTAGATGGTTGTTTTGGCGTTTGCTATATGAAAGTTCTACAAATGTTTTCAGTGCCTAGATGAGCAG